CTCTACTCCTAGCTTTTTTTTATTTCCATCAGTAAAGAGAAGCAGACTTCCAATTCAGAGACCTCAAGCATATATTTTCCTTGGAAATTGGTAGTATAAAACTCCCAGTCAAATATTCTCAGTATCCTAGCAATAATTACAGCACAGAACATGAGTTTTATGACAGTCAGAGGTACAAAAGAATAAAAGGCTATGTTGGTGGGGCTAATTGTCGCACCACCATCTCCACCTAAACAATCTTTGCAGTAAATGGGGAGAGATGGATGGGTTGGTTGCCCAAACTACCTTAGGTGCCTATTTTAGAAAGAGATGAACATCAATTCAGAAGTGTCAACATTTTTTTCCAGGTTATGAAATTGTTCATGTCAAAGTTTGACTGGGGCACTGACAGAAAATACTTTGGGACACTTTTCTTGGCAAATAATTTCAGAAGAAGCTGTCTTGAATTTCCAACTTGCTGTTTCTAGCCTGTGGAATCCCAGGAAACTAATAGTGTATGTCTTATGTTCATAACAAAGATAAATCCAGGATTTAATCTCTTGAATTGTTTTGCTAGGAGCAGCATTGTTCAAAGTTTAAATCAAGACAAGCCTTTTATGAGGTAAACTCATCTGGAGTCTGAGAGATTAGAGGGAGAACATGTTAGCACAGAAACCTCTACATAAACCCCAGAACACTAACATAGTGGCAACATATCCACCAGATTTAGTATTAACCTGGAATTCTGAAGACAAAAATAGCAAGCCATTTGCACTGCAATTAGCCTTAGTACCATTCAGACTTAGACAGCTGCAACCAGATTTCTAAGAAAAGCAAAAATCTATCATCCTTCTTACCCAAATACGTGAATTATAGGAGAGCCATATACACAGAAGTCAGCAGTAGTTGTCATAAACTATCACTACCTTCAAGTCCCATAAGCTGTCACTACCTTCAAGTCCCATAAACTGTCACTACCTTCAAGTCCCATAAGAGAGAACCTAGGACTGAAAATTAGCAATAATTCTTTTAGAAGCTTTCACTATCAAATTCTAAATCCCAAAGAACATTCAATTTTTACCAATTTCCCAGTCATACAAAATATTGGAATTATTGATAAGGGTCTATAAGGCTAGATTTTATTATTGTTTTCACTATAGTGTTTACTCAAGAGATTTTAAACTATCTGCAAAACTTCTCTTCTTTCATCTTTACCCCCTACAATAGTTTACTTGATAGATATGTCCAATAAACATTTATTGGATGCTTATTGAACTTAAAGTAAATTTGTACACTTTGAGGGTAAAACAAGCCTAAATATAGGACAATTTGCACAAGTGTAATGCTACATGGTTCATTTCACTAATGCAAGTAGACCCCACATCACACCCACATATCTGATCTCTTCAGATACTTACATGGACACATGTTAATGCTGGCATAAGACTTTCTTGTAAGTTATTGTTACCGAAGTCTGTTACCAAGTAGCATTGCAGAATGCCACTTCCACTAAACTGAGATCTAGGATTAGACTCCAGCAGCAGGTGCAAATTACAATCCTTCCTCCACCTTCCCACTATCTCTGTTTTTTTTCCAGAACACCCCATACATGAATGTTGCAGATACTTTTTTGTTTCCCCTATCCATGGCTATTGTGATATTTCAGTGAGTTTAGTCTTGATATTACTGCTCTCTGCATGTCTTGCCATATGGAGTGGTTGAATTACATTATCTTACTGAGTTTATTAAACCCAAACTTAGTGTTAATATTCCACTGTTTCTAACATTCATTTACATGATGTTTCTCTCATTTCTTACCTGAAATTCATTTATCCTTAAGGCTCCAAAGAGTCCTTAACTTCTATGTTAAAATTAGCATTTGTTCCGGTTTTATTATTATTTCTTTACACATACATGTTTTGTTGCACTACTTCATTCTGGGGAATTGTTGATACCAAAACTTGACAGAATTCTTGTTTTGTTGGAAATAAAATTGAAACAGTAACATGCATTACAGGAGAGAAACTCTGATGGAACTACTATCTGCTGTGATACAACTTCAAGAAATGCTTCTTTGGCTCTAGCTCATTTCAACCTTTCCAGAGCTCAGAGCTCAGGATACCTCCCTGCTTTTCCACAGATTTATTTTAAAGTTTTCTCAGAAAACTTTCATTTTTGGTTAATATTTTCTGTAAAATACATTTTATTTAACCTAGCATTAAGTATTTTGGATTTTTTTTCCCCCTCAATTAGACTGCATTGGAACATTTCCTTGCACTTTGCCTTGTTTTTGTGTGCTCTGTCTGTGTGAGATTACATGAGGTTTTCCTTAACTTGAAAATCTTATCTTTTGTTGATGGGAGTAACCTCTCTATTTTTAGAGCATAATGCAAGACCCATCTTTTCTCATGATCCTTTCCTCAGTAACAAAGAATGACATCATGCCCCAGGGATACTTTTAGGAAAATAATCAGAACTTTAGTAACAAGATATCAAAGATTAAATCAAAGACAGAGGGAAAATGAGGCCTTTTACAAGATGCAACTGCACAAGCAGCTCCTGCTTATACCCATTGTGATCTGGAGAGTCAAGAAACCAACAGAAACAATGTAATGGGAGCTTACCTTTCAGCAATCCAGTACACTCCTGGCTCACAGACTATAGAGCTACTGGGGCTTTTCTAGACTATGCACATCAAAGCTGCAACTGCACCCTTTGACTACAGGGCAGTCAAAAGACCATTTTCACTTACAGGGGTTCATGAAGGCCACCAGTCAGAGGGATAAGGACCAACATCTGCCAACACCACCATGAAAGTAGCATTCTCTAACAGTCCCACTGAAGATACCACATACACTCCATGAAATACAGCACAGCTTTGCCTTTTTAACAGGGGGTCAGGTAGAAGGCACTCAGATATTGCAGTCAATTTAAGGAGTATGAAAACCTTGAAATTAAACAAATATAGCACTCTTTCATATGACTTATATGAATTAGCATTTATAGTCTTCAGGCAGAAACATGTTGGTAGGAGGTTTTATTCATGAGGAAGGGGAAATTGTAATAGTTTTGCTACGTGAAGTGGAGCCTCCTTACTGTGGGAAAGGTTAAAAAGCAAGGGGGAACACTCCTGCCCAGCTGACTGTAAGGAAGCAGACACTCCATCACGGGCCCTGTCTGAGGAACCTGATTGAACTCGGTTATCAGGATAAGAATTAAATTTAGGGCAGACAGAGAAATCCAAAGGGGAATATTATGCTAGTTAAGGACAATAGGCATTTGTGAAGTATCGTATACATTTACTATGACAACAAAGCCTCACTGACACTTTCTTCATTAAAGAGAAAGACATTTCTACCACACATCTGTTTCCCACTTGAGGCAAGTGATTTACCTACTTCAAATCTGCAGAAGTATATGTAGCACAAAACTTTTCCTCAGTAACCAAAAGAGCTCATAATTTATCATCTCTGAACAATGGTTAGTATGCAATGGATTCTCCCACTCATGAGCTACAAATACACTGCATGCCATTAGGAGTTTTTAATAATTTTGTCATTTAGACCTTTCAAAAATCTTTTTAGATTTCTGCAATATGTTCAGCTGTGAAAATGGCATGTATCCAATGTTAACAATAGACTCCAGTCTATGAATCATCAGAGGAAGAAAAAAAGCCACAAGAGTAATGTTTAGTCATATTGGTTGGAATACACTAGAACAAGCATATGTTCTAGCAAATATGACCCTATCCATCAGCATTCCAGAGATTGTTTCCCTGTACAACACTCCTAAAATCAGTGAGAATTTTGCCAAAGGATACCCTGTTTTTTCAAAGAACCTTGAGACTAACATTTTTATAATCAAATAATATATTTGTGAAATCCTACCACAGCTTTTGATGAAAAGCCTCCTCAGTTCCTCAGTACTGGAAGCCTTACATACATGTATATATATATATGCATTTGTGTGTATATTTATATGTTATTTGGGGGGGGGGGGGGGGGTTGAAAGAGGGACAACACAGAGCACTGTGGTCTACCGTGCTGCACATGGTACTAAAGACTCTGTATCAACTCCAGTGGAAGTCCTTAAAGACTGAAAATTGAGTGTCATAATGTTTGAGCTGTAGATGTCAGAGATGTTATAAAAAGCTTTTCATGAACAAAGTGCTCATTACAAGTCTGTCTAGAGATAGTCAATAGGAAAATCTGTTTACACAAACAAATCTCATATCAGCTCACTTTAGGCAGTCTGTAAGGTACTGCCTCTGCCAAGTCAGGTCTGCAGCCCAGAACCCTTCTCCTTCCCCTCAAAGCATTGAACAAGTTCAATTCTTGTCACTGAAGAGAGTCAGTGCTGGTATCTTATTTTACATTGTATCCAAAGCATATTTGCAAGGAAGCAGGAAACCCAAGTTCAACTACTTTTCCTTGCTTGAGAGGTTTCAAAGCTTACATCTCCATATGCAAACATCCTGACTACTATTAGCTGCACTGTATGAGAAATCTGTGTTTCATCCTGTTAAAGCTGTTCTGCTGCACAGAGAATGGACTAAAGATTAGATTTGACCTTAAAGAGAAAACAAGTGGCAACCTGATCTGATAGCCAGGTAATTATAAGACCTCACAGAGGGGAAGAGTCCTAATTCCTAAGAATGATTTAGACATTTTATCTACCAACCTTTGCACAAACTCAAGTAATATGCAGAGCAGTCTATATCCTGATACCTAGGGCAGGATGATTGATGTGGGTTTGACATCTCTCCATCAGAGGATAGAACTGAACCTGAAAGCCTCAAAATTTCACCTAGTGTTTGCAGTTTCTCATATCATCAGCAAATATTTCCAGGTTAGACTTTTCATACTTACTTCTTCAACAGGTCTCAGTTTTTCATCATATTGTAACTTAACCAGTTGTAACAAAGCATCAGGTTTGTGGAAAGGGGTGGCAGGAGCTGAGCACAAAGCACCAGCTTATCACCTTATCACCTTATCACCATTAAGTTAGCCAAGAATTTCTGCTTTTTTTTTTTTTTTTTTTTTTTTTTTTTTAATTAGTGTTTTGAAACAAGTGTATTCTCTGACTAGAGATTTATTATTAGATTTATTAATTTTATTAAGATAGCTCTTCTTGCCCACAGAACATGTACCAAAACATACTCTAGTCTTAACACTTTCTCCTCCTTTTCTTAGCATGCAAACAGCAGCTGCTGCTTGGAAGGACAGCCTTGAGAAGCCAGCAGGAGCAGAAACAGCCACATCGCCAATGGTCCTAATCCAGTATGCAACAGTATTTAAGGTGAATATCACTCTTCATGGTGAATATCTGAAAGAATAATCAAGGACTGAGTTTGTAAACCATCACTTATCCAAAATCCAGAGAAAACCAGAGGCTTTTTTTTGTTAATTTCTGAGCTCTAACAAGCATTTAAATAATTTTTCAGTGACTAAAAAAAATTTACTTCAGAGAAAAATTAACCACTAAATTTCAAGACTAGAACCACTCATGAACTAGAGCTTGAAAAAAAGGAACATAACATATAAATTTAAATGAACATGTCTTTACATTAAACAAACCTAACAAAACAAAAATTAAACAAAATCATAGAATCATAAAATCATAGAATCATAGAATATCCTGAGTTGGAAGGGACCCTTAAGGATCATCAAGTCCAACTCTTGACACCGCACAGGTCTACCCAAAAGTTCAGACCATGTGACTAAGTGCACAGTCCAATCTCTTCTTAAATTCAGACAGGCTCGGTGCAGTGACCACTTCCCTGGGGAGCCTGTTCCAGTGTGCAACCACCCTCTCTGTGAAGAACCCCCTCCTGATGTCAAGCCTAAATTTCCCCTGCCTCAGCTTAACCCCGTTCCCGCATCTAACAAAAGATGAACAAAATCTAACAAAAGAATGAATTAACAGAGGCAGTTTAAAGTTGGAGAAAGCATTTTACATGTTCTGAAAATCCGGGGAGGCTAGAGGGATAGGGGTGAGACTGTTTTAGCTTAAAGCAAAGCAAGTTCAGTGGCTGATTATTTGATTTAGGTTCTTCACCCTACTTCCCCTCTTCCCTTCTTTTACAAGTGCATGATCCTGGCAAGTTATTGCAAAGTAAAGAGGCAATGCTTTCTGTTACAGCTTTGGCAGGACATCAGTGGTTAGCTGTTGCCTTGAAGGAGCCTTCCTGAACAAATTTACTGTGAAACAGCAGCACCTTTTTCCTCTGCAACAAAATGAAAACAGCAATTATACCACAGATGGGAAATACTCCTGCTGTTCCTATGCACGGCTACAAGTGTTCAGTTTTGAAAACTGAACAGCAAGATAGCTACAAGATAGATTGTCTAACCAACTTACTGCTTTTGAGTGCTTCATCCCATACATAACAACAATTCCAAAGTCTGTCAAATCAAGTAACAGCAGACGTTACTTATTTAAATGCTGATAACATATTTCAGAGATAATCTGCTATTAACTCCTTGCACGCATTAGCTTGTGGTTAGATTTATCCTCCTGTATTCAGAAAGTTCTCTTCTGAGTGGCACTGGATTTGCATCTGCCAATTCCTCTTCATATCAATGAAATTTCATGGGAACAGCAAAGCACTTGTCTGCAAGTGATTGAACTATGAGCTTCTCAACACCTAGAAATGCTGTCATGAATAAGTAAAACCTCGTCTGAGTGAGGTACCCATTACATTGAGTACTTCAGGAGTGAAGTTTCTAGACAGCCTCACTGAGAAGCATTTTCGTTGGTGCTATTTGTCCCCACCCCTCATTCTTTTTTTAAGATCAAACCTTGGACTGGGAGTCCTATTCCAGAGCATTAACAATTCTGTTTGCTGTGCAGGACTGAAGAGCCCAGTCCCACCGAAACTGGACAGCAGCCCAAATTTCTTGGAAACCTTCACAGGCAGCCAGCCCAGTGAGGGAACACAAAACTATCTGCCTCACCACCTAACATTTTGAAACTCTGGAGGTCCCCTTCTGGGAGACTCAGCAAATTCACGTAACAGAGTTGCAAATCAAAGTGCTGGAATTGTAGACTGCAGGCTCAGTAATATACTGGGGCTGCTCTGGAACCATGGGCTCCTGGCAGTCCAGACACACCAGACACACATAATCTCCTTGTTGGGCTCAGGGAGAAACATGGAAAGGATTCCTGCAGACTCCAGAGAGACACTGCCTCTGCTGATATTTCTGGTTTCAAAGAGTCAGCAAGTGTAGATGAGATCAAAGTTTTTTTTTTTTTTTTTTTTTTTTTTTTTTTTTTTTTTTTTTTTTTGTGAACAGCTTTAATTATTACTACAAAACTGTGCCAAAAAGCTTATACTTTTTGAGTACACAAATTGTTTCAAATTCACTGTCCCAGTCTCTGAAGTCTTCTGACTTTATGCAGGGAAAGATATAATAGAAGTGACTGCTTTCCCTAGCTGCTTCAGTGTGCTTAGACTATTGTAGCTTGTTGATCCAGAGATGGAGCGTCCTGCTCCATGGCAGTCCTATGTCTTTCCAGGTTGGTATTTGTTCCACAGTAAAATGACTGCTCTCCCCTTTGGTCATACAAAAGTAGAGTGGTACAGATTTTGATCAGTTTTCCAGCATATTTATGAGGCGAGATTCAGTAGGAAAGCTGGTATTTTTCACTGGAGCTAGGGTGTGCAATTAAAGGGAAATAAAACACCAAGTTCTTCAGCTGAGAGTCGTGCCAGTGCCATAGAGATGTTAAGGGCACACAAAAACCTGGAGTTGTCATGGCATTTCCTTGGCATGAGGATTCTTGGGCTCAGAGCAGATTGCTTGATCTAGATAGCAAGGCCAGGAGTTCTTACATTTGAAGCTAGTCATGCTCTTACAGAAGAAGACTTACTTACTAAAAAAAAAATAATGTGGAAAATTCCTACCTAGCCAGCAGTTCTACTTAAGATGTTTTAGCTTCAACAAAGCAATGTATTTTAATGAACTCATTTAGTCAAAACGTTCTCTCTAGTTTAACTTTTCATGCTTGCTGACACATCAAGAATACAAGTACAGTCAGTACCTGTGCTAGACTAGTTCTTGCAGTATAAGGAGAAAGTTCTGAGATCATGATTAACATATTTGACATAAGCTACAGTGATGCAGTGGGTGACATCTTAGAAACCCAGCCTTACAACAAACTCCATCTTATGGTATTTGACTTCAGAAAAAAAAATAGTTTTTACACATAGAGGGCTCCTGTAAAACTATGTACTTTGTTTCCTTATTCTGCCAGAAAATACAAGGAAGCTGGTTTAAAGCCTGCAGTCTGCTCTACTGGCTTCCCCACCGTGCATGCAAAACCAGATCTGTGGTACAGTTTTTCCTATGCTCCTTTGCATGCATGCCTTCTGCTTAAAAACCACACAAGCAAAAACTGAGTTGCCAGGATTATGGAGCATGAAGTAATTTATAGGAACTAGCACAGCATTAATCACAGCATTTCTCCCCCTCCCGTTGAAAAAAAATGCTGAATCTTCCTCTCCCCCCCCTTCCAAAAAAACCACTTTCATAATAAATGGCAAGCTCAGTATCTTTTTCTCCACCAAAGAGAAAGAACGTGCAGCACAATTGCTGAGAAAGCCAGAAGAGGAAAAAAATTTACATTTATGAGGCCAATCAAAAACTCTGAAGGGCAAAAACATACAATATTTTTATATAAGTAACAAAAACTGATCTGTACTCCTTGGTTTTAACAACTCTGTTACACTCTGAATTGGGGATAATCTTCCCACTTTCAGGTATCCACTGCTGCAGTCACTCAGACCCATTGCTGGGAGTGAGGCTGGGGACAAGTCCCAGATGGGGCATGCCAGGCCTCCCCCACCACCTGTCATATGGTGGGCCACGGCAACTCTCTGTAACCCAAGTGACAAAATATAGAAAGGGCCAGTCAATCACCTGTCAGATTAGATTATCGTCTGCTTACCTTTGGCAGTTTTAGGAATCATATACCTTGTACTCATTAACATTGAATAACAGTGAGGGCAACAGCCAGGTGTTAGGATGGTGACCGAGGCTGTAATATAAACGAGCTGGCCTGGATTGCCCACAGGTATAGAGAGGAAAAAGTTAAACAAAGAAGTCAACGTTTTCCCTTCAGAGGCAATCCTAAAAAAAATGCTTAATTAAGGAATTGTGAGGCCTTCTGCTATTGAAAATGATACTGCCCTTGGAATAAGATACAAGAAGAATATACTGATGACTATGTGGATTTAAAAAGTCCAAGAGATTTTCTGAGAGGGACATGTTCAGCCAGCATCCTAGTCAAAATTTATTTTGGGAATATATATCATGTGTACAGCAATGTACACAGTTTAATCTGGAAGAAGTGGTTTTGTTTTGTTTTGTTTTTGTTTTTCATCCTTTCCCTTTCCAGCAGACTTCTGCTATGTTTGTGATAATTGCATTACCAGATCCTTTTGTGGGGTATTTCTGCCTGAGTCTTTATCTGCTGCAGCCATTTATTGGCCTCTCCTTTCTAAGTGTAGAATTTTATTATTTTCTGCCAAATTCCATGTTTTAAGATTTTGGAATTACTTTCCATTTTGTCAAGACCATTTTGAATCCCGACCCCATCCTCCAGTGTTTACAAACTTCATCTTTGCTTTTGTGATACCAGATTTTTTGGCTATATTCTCTCTTCCATCAGTTATTTGGAGTTCAGTGCCCCTATGAATTGCTATTTAAAAAACAGTAAAAGAAAATAAAATATTACTTACAAAATCTAGATGTATTTTTCATCAATGAAAAGATTTGTAAATTGTTTATGATTGAAGTGATACTTTTTTTTTTTTCTTGTGTTTAATTTGCTTTATTGTATTCTTAAAATACAATTAGGAAGGAAAAATACAGATTGCTTTGTATGTGTTGTGTGAGCTTAAAGAGCTGAGTAAGTCTGTCAGGAAAAGCTGTTTTGTATTTGCTAACTATGCCTGCTAATTTTTCTACATATATTTCATAGTTTGTAAATTGTATCTTTATACGGCTCATACTTTCATGTTTCTCCCTTGAGTTCCCCTGGTTTAATAATGTAGAGAGCGGCGTCCTTACATATATTGCCTTCTCTAAAAGTTACCTCCTCAACATCTTCCAAGTTTAATTCCCTAATATATATTAAAAACAACAACATAGTACCTCTTCTGTGACCATGCTAACACGGTATTTATGACCAATAAGGATTATTACCTGGGGAAAACTGACTTATACAATACAGAGAGTCATGAACCTCACCGTTGCTGGAGAATATAGCCAACTAATCTCAGAGCTTCTGACAGTCTCTTTTGCACCATATTTCTGTCTGTATTCAGTAATTGCTCACAATGCATACAGGTGAAGATTGCTGTTTTTTATTCTGAAGTGATGGAAATAACATAATGAAGTTGTAATTAATTAATCTTATAGTACAGTAGAACTGTAACCTCCAAAGAGCAAAGCACACTGGTCTAGATCCATCCAGTCCAAAATTAGAGATTATATATATGAAGAACCTGTTTAACCTGAGCCCTTTCTGTAGCCCACAGAAACTGTCCTTTACTTATTTTTCTGACTGAGGACAGCATAGAGCTGACAAAATCTTAAGACATAAATTTCTGCTAGGTACCTAATGTTAGGTTGGCTGGATTTGCACCTGAAATCTGTACATTTCTGTGAGGGTCAATGTAATAGAATTTGCCCTTGCTGGTGTGATTATCAATTTGTAACAATGTGTTTATTATTGAGAAAGTAAGAGAATGTTTCCCCATGCTGTGAAGGTCTGGAAAACATGATGATAATGAACTAATTTTGAATCATCTAATCATCACAAGAAAAGTCTCAAGGGAGTTTTAGTAAACTTGGGATAATCAAATGACCTTGGCAGAATTGTTTCAGCTCCCAGATGTTTGAAACATGGACAGCTGATAAAGTACCAAGGAGATATCCGCTGCCGTTGTCAGGACACAGGTCTGTAGCAAGTGCAGCTTACAGTGTTTTCCTCAGAAGTAACACACATGACACAAGTAAAAGAATAGAAAAAGATATGTATAGAAAGAAACAGATAGCAGGCCATTGTCTTGTTTATGGAAGGGTGGTAGTTTTACTGTTCTCAGGACTTTTCCTGTTCGTATTTCTCAAGCCTACTGAAACAAAAAATCAAATGTGTTCTGTAATTCCAGCAATGTCACATACATACATATCCATACAGCTTAACAGTGTCTCTGTTCTCTCCCTACCTCAGTTTTATTGGATTTTATTCTGTGTTTTCCTCTACTGAAAATGTGCACTGTAAATTCCTGGGTACAGTGATACTTGAGTCCAAGATTTCAAGTCCAGCCAGAAATGGTTATTTAAAAATCCACATCAGTATTTGCCAAGAGTTGTGAATAGGACTGCTTGCATGCTTAACTGCACGCACACATGTGGGGGGGGGCTTCCCTGCCTAAGGTTGGACAGGATGTTATTTTTCTTCAAAGAAGAGGGAAACAAGAACAGTTGTTGAAAACTGGGAAAACCTAGAAAAATATTTGACAATAGAACTTAGCAAAAATGAATGTTTTTACACAATGGATTTTCTTAGTAAGAGGGAAGGTTTTAGAGACTTCTGGTCATTTTAAATTCCTCCCCCAACTTTCTTGGGCAGAAGTCCAAAATCAACAGGACACATGCATTGCTAATAAATGACAATCAACATAGACTAAAATCTGTGACCTTTCTGAGCTCTGTATGTACCCATTACTGGAGTTTGGAGTTACAAGCATCACCAAGAAGGACTTTTATAATTTTGCGGCTATTTGTACGAAGCCCTTGTTCTTGCTGAATCCAGCCAACACTGTAAAATGTTCTAAATGTCTATGTTTACACTGTCTACTGGATGCTCTACAAGCTTAGCACTTGACAGTTTTTTGGCTATTGGATTTTCTCCTCTTTCACAGATGTCAATTATCATTCTTTTAAAACACGTTGACTGTGGTAGTGTTCACAGAGGAATCAAGGTGCTGTTTCATTGTCTTTTTTTTTTAGTTTAGGAGTATGCAAAGTTATCATGACTGTGGAAAAATTTTGTCTAGTAGAAAAAAAAAAAAAGAAAAAAGAACACCAAATACAATAAAATAAAATTCATTCAGATTTCATTACCCTTCCTATGAAGTCAATATGGGCTGTGAACAGTAGGCTGCAGACCAGATGAAATCCCATCCAATTAGCATCTGTGTGATGTTGTCTCTGCAGATGCATTACTAAACCACTCTTGCTAGCTGTAATCTGAAGAAACACAGCAAATCCACACAGTACATCTGTACATTAATGACCACAAAGAAACATATCTTCATAAAATAATAGTAATAATATAAAATTTATTTTGTATCTGTGCTTCTGTCTAACTGTCATCTGAAATTGCTAAAATTCCAGATGCACGTTATGGGAAATTGTGCAACTAAAATATTTTATATCCCTTTCAGAGAAGTTTCAGGATGTTTAAACCCAATCCTGACCTCACAAAATGAAAAAAGATCCTGACAGTTTCTAATCAGTTGAAATACTGCATTTTGATAACTTCTCCTTTTAAAATGTTTTACATTTTGTTTTATATATATATATATAAAAGTAGTTTTAAAACACAACTAAAATAGAAGTTTTCCTGAAATTTGAAATGACATCTGTTGACATTACAGTCTGTCTTCCTAAAACAAAATTGCCACATTTTGTAGGTTTACATTTAATCAACACTTGTGGTGTTGGATTTTGTGTTGATCCTGTTTCTTTTTTTTTTTTTTTTTTTTTGTTTTGTTTTGTTTTGTTTTGTTTCAATTAGAAAGCTGTTGGAAAGATATTTCTCAGTTCTAATTTAGTGTCAAGGAAAAGATGCATATCTGCGGTAATAGTTGTAAGTACCTCCCTGACTCCACAGTCATGAAGGACTTGGTGGGAGAGGCAAAGCAGAAGATGTCTTCTGTTTCTTTGGGCTGCGCACAGCCTAAATTGTGTTCTAAGTATGGTAAATATATAAAGTAATGAATATTTGTAAGGACATAATACCAACAGAAACCACTGTTCCATTTATGAATGTACCATGGCAAATTCCATGTACACATATTAGAACAAAGTCTTTATCACAGGTATACTCCACAAAAAAAAAAAAAAAAATAAATAAATAAAAAAAAATCTAACCATTACAAAGTTTTCTTTCTCATGCTTTTCTGAAATGAGGATGGAAGTGTGGCTTTCTCAGGGGCTCTATCCAAACTGTTGTAATTGAAACACCATGCACTAGAACCCAACAGGTTCTTGACCACACCTTGAGAAACTGAGATTTCAGCAGTATTGGAAGAAAAAAAAAAAATTACTGAAAACTACAGCTTCCAAGATCCGTGAAGATTTACCCTTTGGGGTGTGAATGGGAATCTTGTGTGGTGAAAGTGTTTAGATTTGTGTCTAATTACAGAATCACAGAATCACAGAATCATCTAGGTTGGAAGAGACCTCGAGATCATCAAGTCCAACCTCTGACCTAACACTAACAGTCCCCACTAAACCATATCCCTAAGCTTAGGCAAAGATTGAACTGAAACTTTTCCAGTGGCAGTCATAACCTCTTCTCACTGAATCCTTTGGCTTCAAGGGTGAATAACAACATCTGTGACACCTTATCCTCTCTACTTATATGACTGTTTCCCTCTACTACCCAGTATCATATTTTCTGAATACCAGCAATCTGGAAGCTTAGAATTTTCCTACTTGTGTATGAGTGTGTGTGTGTGTAGACAAACTCCTTCTTTCGCACTTAGTTTCATGTTTCATTTTCATCAAGCTAAAATGAAAAAATAGGAACTTGACATATTTTTCTATTATATGATGTTAAATATTTTATCTATTATTTGCCAGCAAGTAGTTGCATTAGTAATATTCATTTAGCAATAATGAGATTCCTTGTAGTTTATTATTATTATTATTATTATTATTTATTTATTTATTTATTTTTGGCTCTGCTTACTGAGAATTACCCCTGGTGTGCAACAACTTGTTGCTGTTACATGTGTTTAATTTTAATATGCTTGCAGGGATTAGCAGCTCAGCAATTGCTGACAATGAAGTACTATAATAGATGGGGCTAAATCATGCAGGGAAATACTAATAAAATACTTTGGTTGATGCATGGAGTCATATTGCAGAAAGTGTAACCTTCATCCAAATAAATTTGACCAGTTCAGAGAGACACTATCTTTTCTGAAGTTCACTGTGATTTTTCAGGGCTTCTACATTTGAAATCACATCTAATGGTATAATACCCTAAAGCACATGAACAATTGGCAAGGTCACTTCAGATAGCCTTATTGTTTTTTTTATATTCAAGGAGATAGCCCTTCAATAGTGAGAAATATGATATCCAGGAATTCCAGCTTGCCCTCCTGTAATCTCCTTCACAGAGCATAACAAAGAACAATTGTGTGAAGCACAATGACCTCAGAAGCTTGAAAGCCCTCAAGCTATTTATGAATGTGGACCGGAGAGGCTACGTATGCATTCAGGATGAAGAAACCTTGACCAGGGAGAGCTCATTTTAGTTGTGAATTATTTTTGTATGAGGAAGCTTTAGATGAAAACAGAAGTGCAACTACTGCAATATTGAAGTCAATGACAGACACACTCATTTTTGCATTAGTTCTGAGAGGGTATCATACTTTTTCAGAGATTAAGGACAGCAGAAGTGACATTTAGTGTATCTGTCCTTGATAATCTTAATGTATGTTACTATGAAGAGCCCTTGCACACCTATATCAGTGGAGATCTGAACTAATAAGAGATTTCTCCTAGCATTTACTGTAATAAAAGAAGATTACTTTGACTTTATGAACTGATAGCTCTGTTTATCCGTGGAAAAACAACAACACACTTCTTGGTTAAGCCACCTGCCTATGTCTGCAGCTTTCTGTCAAGCAAGGAATTGCATACCAAATTCTCTATTGTAAATGAGCTGTGATGTGTCTGTTTGACAGATAATTGGTGCTAATATGTTCTTGATTGTGCGCATGCCTGGATAGTAATCTTTTCCACAGTTAAAGGAGAATCTGTGGGCCAGATCAAAAGAAATATCTGTTACACACATTTGCCACTCAGCTGCTGTCAGCTCAAAAAGAAGTAAGGGGTTGTAACTATGCTTCTGTGATTTATGGCATCTGCAACCAAGTGTGTTATCATCACTGTTGTATTCTGTAAAAGCAACCTCTCACATACCTTCCATCCTGAAAATGATTTCACCTCTAGGAATTTTAAAACACATTAAAATATATATATATATTCATTAAAACACACACACAAAAAGACACCATGACTTTATTCAGACTGTAAGAAAACATGAATCACCAGGAAAGTTTGAAATGGAAAGAGATGGATGCAGACAAGGCCAGAAAATATTTTAGGAATATTATACTTATCATAAAACATCAGAGAGATTAAAGATGGGAAACAATAGATGTTTGGTAATGTCAATCCAGAAAGAGACAATGTTGGATGCATCCCTGTTGTCTGTATTAACAGGGAGTTTTCAAAAAGAGTATACTGAGAGAGTATGGTAGATTCAGTATGTGAGAATTGCGTATAATTAAAAACAGGCAAATGCTAAATTCTGAAGTTACATTTTCATAGCAGGATTTTGTTGATTATATACACATTGTCACTATGTACATCTTCATTATGACCTTGCTACCTAGATAAAATACTAGATAACTTTCAAATTCATCTTTCAGTTCTCAACAGTTAACTACTCTGCTAAAATTTCTGGATTCTATTTCTGGATTCTATTTTTCTCATTCACCATCCCAAAATAAGCCTTGTATGCTGGTATATGCTGACTCCAGCTAAGCCTTACAAGATAGATCATAGAATCATTGAATGGTTTCTGTTGGAAGAAACTTCAAAGACTGATTACAACCCACTGCAATAGGCAGGGACACCTCCCACTAGATCAGGTTGCTCAAAGCCCCGTCCAGGCTAGAACAGTTCCAAGGATGGGGTATCCACATCTTCTCTGGGCAAGGTGCTGTGGGTCAAAAATTTGCTGAGGTGCACACTAACAGTTAAACAAGGATTGCAGGACACTATTTGGTCAATGTCCTGTCTCTGTTTATTACACTAATGTAGATGTTCATCAATTACACCAGTTACAAACCTCCTAAGAGATTTGTGGAAAGGCATAAGATTGGGAACTTCCCCATGTAGGGGAAGACATATCTGCTCTGGTCTCTGTGGAGTACCACACCCAGACTATTTTCTTTTTAACTGCACAATAGCTATCATGTCTGTGTGTGCAGCAAACATGAATAACAAACCACCTTTTCTCCTCTCCCTCCTGCCTCTCAGCACACGTACACATGCTCTAAGTCAATCCTCAGGAAAAACAAAACAATTCTGTGAAACAAGCCGATTCAAAATAATACAATGAATCCACCAAAATAGCCTGTAAGAATGACGAGGAGGAAATGATTTCACTTTTTGCTTTATCCAGGGGGTGCTCTTGCATAACCTGTTCACCATACACAACAGCTAAGTTCCAGTCACATGCAAGGCATATTTGAAAACAGTGATGAGAACACAAGTTAAATTATGTGAAAAATAAATAAATAAATGAATAAACACTATTTTTTTCCAGGAACCAATAGGAAGTTTTCTCTCCCTCTTCTGAAATTATATAAAGTTTAAGTTAAAATGCACATAGGATAGTGATTTATGAATGACTGCAAGCCTGAAACTGAAACATCATGTGAATCCTGGATATGAACTTTTTTTTCTTTTTCCTAGTAACTTAGATCTTATGAACTCTTGTTTAAACTTTCACAATATTATCTATTTGTTCAAATTGCATTTGATGCAAATATTACACAAATTTACCAGGCTGGCCATCAGTATACAGAACCTTTAAGAAAAAGTAGATTTATTATCTGTGATTATATTTTTTTTTTCAAATGCCTCTATTGTGCTGCAGAGAATGCAGTACCTATTCTGTACCCTTATTGAGAAATGAGGATTATCAGCTTTGCTGAGAATATGGTTTGTAGGATTTTGAAACAGCAACAAAAACATAAACGCAAAGACACGACCTTGTAGAAACTTCTGAAAACATGTATGTTAAACAAGCTACTTCATCTCTCACAGGTCTGTTTGAACACTGTTATGATGTCCCCTGTGCTCTGTGCCCCAGCTGGCAGGCGGCAGCAAGCTCTCCCAGCTGGCTTGTCAGGAGGTACAGTGCAGCAGGCTGACACAGAGCTCTCAGCACTGCTGTGCTGGAGCAGTCTCTGCCACCCTTATGTCCAGACACTAAACCACATTTTCTTTCCCAGCCTCTCTAATTCTTCCAATATCTTGCA